TGTTTTGAGCATATTTTCGGAATCCTCAGATTCTCTTCTTTCGTTTGACACCCAATTTCGCCGGTTTGATGCATCCCGCCGTCCTCTAGAAGGCTTACTTTGAGATCACTAGGGGAAGTTGGGGGAACGCCGAATACTTTTTTTCTGACGCCCGTAGCACGCAAGGTATACAACATAAGCTATTCTTGTTGGCGTCATTCGAGAGGCCAGTCTTTTGCCTTTCAAACATACCAGGCGCATTTGATGAATTCGCATACCGTTAAGCGCACAAACTAAAAATATCAAAGAAGTGACTTTTTCGGCGTTGCCCCGGACTGCGGGGAAAGCCGAAAATGGGAGAAATGATCTACGGGGAATGCCGACATTGATGTTTTGCCACTTTATCTCAAACTTTATCCAGAATTTATCAAAGCTGACACGCGTTTTAAGAGCTTGAGGACGCTTGGTGCACACTGGAAGTTATAATTGTGTGATATAATAAGAAAATGCCAGGTAAATAATTCCTTATAGGTAACAGGCCGTTGTGTCGGTTGAAAGTGTAATTTGTGTGACTAAAAATTCGCGTTGCTATTCTACAGCAGTAAAGGCCACGTAGCGTGCTTTAACGTGCGTAATTGCACGTTTTCGGCATTACCCCAGCCAGCCATACTTTCATTTGCAGGCCCATAACTTTTCAACGTGTCGTATAAATTTCAAATAGGCAGCACACTTATGCAAAGACATACTGAAGATTACTTGACCGAATTGGCCAGACAAACGGTAGCATAATGAGTAAGAAATGCAGCTTCAAAGGCGCATGTAGTACAAGGAACGCGTACCTTGAAAACGCTCTTGGCGCCCTCACAGCCGAAGCATTCCGAATGACGACTCGTAACAAACATGCGATAATTGTAGTCACTTAAGCTTCAGAGCATCACTGACAAGTGGCATCCATGTCTTACGGTTTTCGAAATATCTCGAATTTCGGCTTTGCCCTAACTCCGGCATTGCCCCAACTTCCCCTACACATGTGCCGGTTTTTGCCTTTGACCTTGACCTCTGACCTTGAAAATTGACCTGAGGTCAAAAAATTTAAGTGCGTTAGAATCGTCTCGTAAGGACCTTTCGTTTGGTATCGCTTTTGTTTCCGTATCTCCCTTATTTACGGAGTTAGTCAGGGGGGGGGGGGGGGCGAAAAAACGCCTCCCCCGGGCTGCGGTGGTTGGAATAACCCTCCCGGGCCCGGCCGAGTTAAAAAATCTGTTTTTGTACAAGAGTTATCCTGGATATTCCTGAATTCGTAAGGCATATTTTTCGAGTTTCACTGAAAACTGAACGCCAAAAGACCACTAATTGACGAAAATATGCTTAAAGGGACCCTCCCACCTTCAAAAAAGTTTATGAATTGGCATGAAAGTGATGTCGCTCGGTTCAGAAAGAGCGAAAACGAATATCTACCAAATTTCACCGAAAAATATTCACCAGTTTTCAAGATATTAGGCTTTTACTTTTGTTTACTTTTTTGGGATCTCCGCTGTTTCTAGCGACTTTATTTTAGAAGTGCGGCGTTTGCGGCAGGTGTTGCGCGCAAATAGCATATACCACCGCGTGCTACAAAACGTTTTAGTCAAACATTTAAAAATCGTTAGATATTTGCGCTGACGTCACACATTCAGAGGGGTATTCCTAAGCATTAGCCCCTCTGAATCAAAATGCTGCAATTTTGAAATTCAATATTTCCGATTTAAGGCATTTCTCGATGTTGTGAGTGCCGAAACCGGTAATTGTGAGCCAGGGACCCCATTTTGGCTATCTCAACTCAAATCTAATGTTAAGGTGGGAGGGTCCCTTTAAATACTCATATACGTGATACGTCTTCCACAGCCGAATATTGAATATTGGCACATATACCACACAGCTCAGGCACACGATGAGTCACAGTCAGACCCCCAGAAGCGTGAAATGACCCTTATCAACTCGCCGGCCCGGCGCTCTCGGCCCGCCTGACCTGCCACGGACTGGACGTTTGGTTGTTGCCATTGCTTAGCCAGGCGTCACATTTGGAAGTTTAACGGTGCAAGTCGGAATTTGAGCTATTCAAATCTGGCACTTTGAACCATTTGTTATGTACTGGCACTTATGTACAGGTCTTGCGGGTTTTAGAGGTAGGTTTTGCACCTATAAAATTTAGTGTACTTCAGGCTATATTTTCGTCGTCTTAAGCTTTTTAATGTTGAAGATGAGATCGACTTGTTGGGTAACAAGCCGGCCATGATCGTGTAAAATGGCTTTATCGTAGATCGATTAGTTTCTGAGATATAACCGGAAATGTAAAAGTGCAAAACCTACCATTTAATCTCGCGAGAGCCGTACGTAAGGTCGAGGTCGGAATTTCCAAATACGCGTAGGTACGTAAGACTCCGCTCGCTTCGCTCGCTCCGTAATAAAGCTGGGATAAAGAGCGTTAGTCGCAAAATATTTTACGAAAAACTGCCACGTGCGTGTGCTGATGTGGCCTGTGCCCTGTGGGGTGCCCCTCACATTCACATGTTACCACTTACCAACCAATAATATCCTACTTTTTTAGTGGGTTAGGTATTCATAATACCTAAGACTTTTCAAGGTAGCATTCATTTTTTATTCTCATAGCTTCTGAAAGCACTGTAACTTATAAGTGTGAAATGTCATCACTGCGAACAGTTACGAGATAATACTGCTACACAGTATACCTACATTTATTTTCATTATCGCTTATCCCGCGCCCCGTAGGGCTACCGGCGGACCCTACCACCCGTAGGGGGGGGGGGGGCCGTTTCGGCCCCCCCTAAGATCTCGGAAAGTTACCGGCCGATTTTCAAAATTCAAACGGCGTTCGATAGCCCCACCCGGGAACTACCTTGTGACCAAATTTCATTGACCTAGGTCAAACCGATGACGTCACAGGTCAGGTCAAAGGTCAGATTTTCACCGTTCACAGGCAATTCAAGAAATGTGCTGTGAAAGCGAGTAAATTGGTAATTTATTGAAAACCATCGATGGTACATTGTTCGTCAAACACATACTTTGCTATCTGAGGTCACTGAGACCAGGTCAGGTCACAGCGAGGTCAGGTCACCGGGGGTCACAATATGAATGTGTCGTGTGATACATATTTTATGGTCCATTTTACATGACAAATGCGATTATGTGGGTTAGGCAGCCTTTGGGGCCAGCCTAGGTCACGTTTTTGTGAAGGTCAGGTCAAGGTCAGGTCAAATTAGGTCAAATTTCAAAGTTGATATTTTTGCATAAAATGGGTATCGATTCGATGCAGCTCGTCACGGGGAGTCTAATGGTGGTCTTCGTTTTGCTCTACGAGTTCTAGAATTGCCAAAAATTGAGTTTGAAAATTTGACGTCATCATTTTTGAACAGTTTTTTCGCTATAACTTGGCCAAAAAACAAGGTATCGATCTGAAATTTGGTATGTAGATAGAAGACGGTAGGCACTATTACATATATTCCGGTTTTTTCGAAACTCAAAAACTTTTTGGATTTTTTGGCGAATATATAAAAAAAAATGCTTTTTTGATTTTTGGGGGTCAAAACTCAAAAATTTCAAAAATTCGAGATAGCAGTTTTGTAGCCCTCTCAATTCTACACCTTTTATGTCTTGATCATTTTTCTGTATCTTCAAAGCTGTAGTCCTGACAGGTCTTCTCGCGAAGGTCTTTTTTCGGTCGAAAATGACAGAACATGACGTCACTCTGACGTCATTTGTTGCCAACCTATCATAGCCTCTGGAAAAATTTTTGGTCACAATGTGTAAAATTGATGCCCGGAGGGGTCCTGAAAGTTTGGTGGCGATATCTAGAGCCGTTTAGGAGATATCGACCGAAAATGACAGGGGGGGGGCCGTTTCGGCCCCCCCCCTACGGGGCGCGGGTTATGCATGACGTCCCTTCCGACTGGAACGTGGGTTTAATTGTGTACATTTCAAATACATGGAAACGGCTGCACATACATTTATTTATTCGGCAGTGGCACATATACCTAAACCGCGTTGCTGGTGCCATTGACTGCCATCTAAGCTCTGACAAAACATCAATCATCAATGTATGTATGGTCGGGTCGAGCTTACGACGGTCACTTACCACACGAACACATAAATTGATAAGCTTTGTATGCGCTGGAGTTAAAATGCACCATGTGAATACCCCATTTTAACAGTAGGTACGATCTTAAACTCATACGATCGTTTGGTGTGCGATCATTTACCTTGACGATCTTTTGCGAATGCGATCTTTTGTCCATACGAACATTATTCTGCACGATCCTTATCCCATACGATCTTTTGACTTGCGATCGTTTTCGCTGACGATCTTTTGTGCTTACGAGCTTTTGTCCATACGATCTTTATCCCATACGACTTTTTGGCAAACGATCAATTTCCTTGACGATCTTTAGCGAATACGATCTTTTGTCCATACGAGCATTATGTCGCCATACGATCTCCTGCTTTACGGTATTTTGTCCGGTTACCGACATAATTGAGCATGGGCGCTAGGTGGCGCCAGGCATCTCACCCAGCTGCGTAGGTGGCGCCAGATCTGCACAACTCTGACACGCCTCTCGGTATTTGCGACGGGAGCCATCTTTTGCGCAATTATCCCAAGGTGACAGACAACGTTCGAGACTGATGGTGGTTATGCATGTGCTGGTGCCTTCTGTTGTTCTATCAATTCCGTGGAGACATGCAGAGTATAGCAGCTCTGCCAGCTGGCCACCAGCTACATCATCGGGAAATCGGCTGGCGACTGCGCAGACAGTCCGATTTTGGCTGGTGACGGGGGCGGGTCAACTCCAGCGTAACTCGCATTGGACACCCAGTGTCACAGACCGGGCCTCCTCAGGTATCACCAGGACATAGTCAGTGGTGGCCGGATTCCTCAGAGGGGTGGCACCAGGCCAGCCAGTTAGGGCGAGCACCAAACGACCTCACCGAGTCCGGCCTGGGCGCTGGCTAGAGCGCCAACACACGGAGAGGGTGGATGGCTGTTTATTGCTGTATTGTCCTTGCATAGAGTGGTCGGGAGACCGGTGGCACGGGCCGTCCGCCGGGTGGAAGACAAACACTTCCGCGGCCCAGACGGCCGGGCCGGGCCGGTCGGCGGTACGGGGCTGTAGGAGACGGACCTGCCCCGGCCGCTCCGGCCAGCCGGCCTGGCGGGCCGATGGTCGACAGCCTACGGTCGGTGCCACAGCGCGGTACACGGTGTACACACGCGGTACATGGTGTACACACGCGGTACACGGTGTACACACGCGGTACATGGTGTACACACGCGGTACATGGTGTACAGCGCGGTACCCGCTACACAGCGCGGTACACGCCGCACAGCGCGGTACCCGCTACACAGCGCGGTACACGCCGCACAAACACCGGGCAGTGTGCAATAGACAGACAGTGCCGACACGCCGCCGCTAATCTGTACGGTTATCTGGACGAGTCGTTTGCCGTTCGACGAGCAGCACCTGGTCGTAATACACAGACACCACGCGCAGTAAGAGGGATACCACACTGGAGTTGATAACGTCCGAGACTGATGCGGCACCGGTAAAACTGGGGCTACCCTCGGCCCCGGCAGTCCCGGCCTAAAGGCAGTGAGAGGTGCAGCTGCCCCAGGCAGCACAGAGTATTGGCGGCGCCCCAGCAAACCACATATGGACCCGGGTGAGCTGGCTCGCACAGTTGAGCAATTAAACCTGACTCATTGCATTGAATGGTAGTTGAACGGTAGTTGACACTCGTGGTCGCTCGACGCGACCTCGCACGGGAATGGGGCAAATCACGGGGAATCTATCGTCACCTGATCTAATAAAAAGCAGTATGAACTGTTATTGCTTATGGACGCCATGCTTTATACTGACTTCGTCTTCATGCTTCATAATAATAGTCCTACATTAAACTACCGATATCACGTCCCATCAGTGCGAACAATCTACCATAGAATCTGAAGCACGGCTGATATCAATCACCATGTAAATAATCACTACAACAGAACGAGTAAACAATCGCATCCTGTCTTCTACACGCACAGTAACATGAGCAGCTGAGGTGCAGAGACACAGCGGTCCCCTGGACCTCTGGACTGGTGCGACGGGCGGCCGGCCGGCAGCGCTAGCGGTGCTTCTTGGCTCGCCGCTGGTCGGCGGCGGCCGCGTCCGCCTTCTGCTTCCCTGTAACACGGAACGGAACTGGTGAGGAGACCGAGCGGCAGGACTGAGGACAGGGAACACACCGGTGGAAACTGCTGCAGCAACTACTGCGGCAGGGTCCCGGACAGGCAACACACCGGTGGAAACTGCTGCAGCAACTAAAACAGCAGGGTCCCGGACAGGCAACACACCGGTGGAGACTGCTGCTGCAACTAGTACAGCAGCACCGAGCTCAGTCGACTCAAATAGCACGCGAAAATAATACCATCAGTTTTCACATAAATGCCCCGTTAAAATCAAAACTCAAAGGAATCATTACGCCAGCTCAACGAGGCCTGGCTGGACGTGCGACTAACATACAATCTTGTACGATTGCATGTTACCCTTCTCTACACCGGCCCTAAGCCGACGATGAATGGTGGCCCACCAACTGATAGGAACTCCCTTAAACACCGCACCACTAATTAAGTGCCTCTAATTCTAACATACCCACGCGGTATTACAGCACCCGTCGCCCCACCCCTCACCCCAGACGAGGGGGTCTCATAACTATAGCTATACCCACGTGGTATTACAGCGCTCGTCGCTCAGTCTCTCACCCCAGACGATGTGGTCCAGCTTCTTGCCGAGGAGGTAGAGGCCGATGGCGAAGGCGAGGTTGGCAGCCATGAAGGCGATCCTCAGAGGCCACGAGAGCACCTTCATCACGCCGTACACCCACAGTTCGGCCACCAGAGCTAGGTACATGGTCCTGTAACAGACCAGCTACAGATTCAGCGCGACGAACACAAACACCGCACAGGTTCGACCGGGCGCCGCGCCGGTGGACAGCAACAAATGCAAATCATCAATGTACAACGTTACCTACCACAACAATATCTGAGCCCATTGGATGCCTTAACCTTCGCCCCAGTGGGGGGGGGGGGGGGGCATATGTTACCACCCTGTCACGTTTTTTTTCTCGTATAAATAAAAAACCGCGGCGCGTAGCGCCGCGCAGTTTGGGGTAGCTTTTGGTACATCAATTTTGGACAATGTGTGAAATTTTTGACCCCAGGTCATGTCAGGTCAGGTCACCAGGTCAAGTTAACTGACCAAGCCTTAAAAAGTTTGCAATCATGTCCAGCCTGCAGTGTTTGTCAGAGAGGTTTTAAACTTGGTGGATTACATGATGTTATGGGTGTCTACAATTTGTATATCTCGGATTTTTTATATGCGTGACCTAAGGTCAGGTCAGTGGCGTGACCTTTCCATTTTAAGTCAATGGAGAAAAACGAAAATGCCTCGAGATCCGTGTGTACGCATAGGAACAGTCCAAATATTTCAGGATAACAATGATTTGGACCACCCGTGACGACCAAGGTGTCTTTTTTTTTGCTGATAGCCTCTTGAAAGGTCATCCGAGGTCATTTGAGGCTACAGTTTTTTTGCCAATAACTCTCGACTGGAAAAAGATAGAACGCTGGTGTTGGCCTCATTGTGTTGGTCTTGCCGAGACGCATCGACTGATATGCAACATGACCTTTTCCGGTCAGTCATGACCTTGACCTGAGGTCAAATTTTGAAGTTGACCTTTCAAGGTCAAATTATAGTTCATTCGACGCGTCTCGGCGAGAGGAACACGATTCTGGCATTAGAAATCACCTAGCTTTTTTTTAGTCAAAAGTTATTGTCGAAAAACACTTCTTAAAAACAGCTATTTTTGGAGTTTTTGCCCTCTGGAGGCTAAACCGTTGACCTGAGGTCATTTTTGATGATACTGATAGCCTTATCAAAAGAAGAGTTCAAAAGCTATCGATTGCTTTTCCCAGCGTTTTTCTAGCTATCATAGTTCCTGAGATAATGACATGTTTTCTGAAAAATACAATGACGATTCGCAAATTTTGACCTTTGATGACCTCTGGTGACCCTAATATTGCTCTAAGATGAAAAATGACCGAAATACTTTCAAACGTACGCATCAAGAGCTATCGACTGCTTTTTACCGCGTCTTTCTAGCCCTCTTAGTTTTTGAGTTAGAGGTGGGTGGTAACATATGCCCCCCCCCCCCCCACTAGGGCGAAGTTGGCTGAGACCGCCACTGGGGAGCGGGTTAAGTCAGGGCGGATGTGTTTCACATGAACTAGGCTACATGTGCATGGAAGGAGTGACACAAGAGACAGACCTGTGCTAATTATCAACCAAAAGCCAGGCGTATCCTGCTCGGTCCAATCGCAAAGACTTTACAACGAAATGATGAGCTGAATAACACATTTCATCAGTACTGTTGTCTGTTACTTTGCTTTATCATATGACCCCAAGCTTGGCTATCATTCAACAATGGAAAGTCGGAGACGCATACCTATCGAGATGAGGCATCATGTCAAGAGGAAAAAAAACAGAACCGTGAGTGAGCGGAACCGAAATAAGCGAGGCGGCGACGGTTTTATCAAGCGCGCCCTTTTTGTTGTTTTTGAGATAGGCTTTCGATGGCCGCTCCACCGAACCCCCTTCGCGCCACTGAGGACAGTGGCACGCTACAAAGGTCGCGAACAGGTTTAATGTTTACCGATTGACAAGACCTTGAACAGTCGATTCATCGGGGAGGTGAACATCAACACAAGGCGCGCCAACTTATGATCGAGGCAGAAACACCACACGTGGCATATCGTTCGCGAGCATCTTTGCCCCTTCTAACCAAACACTGAACGCGACTGTTTGGGTGATCGGCACATTTGGCGGAGTTTTTTTTTTCCCGCCAACCGCCCTGCCTAGTGACACGCGGCGCCCGGGGAGTCATCTCCCGCAGCTGGGCGATCGGCCCCTGTCACTGGGCGACCCTCGGCCCCACAGGCGCCAGTCAGCGGACCGAGTCATAAAAAGCGCTGCTGACGAGGCCTATCTACCGAGGCCACAGCAATGCTACTTTCCGGAGCGAGAGCCAGCGATCCGAGAAGCCTTAGCTAATCCAAGTACAAGCACATGCTCCGACAACAATTCCTGAACAGCTCCAGGGCCCAAGGAAATCATTGTTTATCTTGACCGAACAAAATGTAGATATGTAATTTTCTTTTCAATTTACTTTGCTTTATTTTACTTTACAACAGTCAAACAGAGTAACGGGACTGCAGTAGTCTGTCTGTGACCGGGCGGGAGACGGGGAGGGAGTCTGTAGACACTCAGCAGACTGCAGTAGTCTGTCTGTGACCAGGCGGGAGACGGGGGGGGGGGGAGGGAGTCTGAAGACACTCAGCAGACTGCAGTAGTCTGTCTGTGACCGGGCGGGAGACGGGGGGAGTCTGTAGACACTCGGCAGACTGCAGTAGTCTGTCTGTGACCGGGCGGGAGACGGGGAGGGAGTCTGTAGACACTCACCAGACTGCAGCAGTCTGTCTGTGACCGGGCGGGAGACACGGGGGGGAGTCTGTGGACAATCAGCAGACTGCAGTAGTCTGTTTGTGACCGGGCGGGAGACGGGGAGGGAGTCTGTAGACACTCAGCAGACTGCAGTAGGCTGTTTGTGACCGGGCGGGAGACGGGGAGGGAGTCTGTAGACACTCAGCAGACTGCAGAAGTCTGTCTGTGACCGGGCGGGAGACGGGGGGAGGGAGTCTGCAGACGGACACTCACCAGGCCAGGTAGGCACCCAGGAAGAGCACCAGCAGCGCGAGCGACACGTGGTGACTGCTGAAGTGGTGCGGCACCAGCACCAGCTCGAGCAGCGCCAGCACCACGGGCGCGGTGTGAACGCCGTGGTTCAGCGCCGACGGGTAGAAGAGGTCCATCACCTCCGGGAACACCAGCTCCCGGCTGATGGCGTACATGCCCCAGAACAGGATACACACCACCTGCCGGCGCCGGCGGCGGCCCCGCTCAGTGCCGCTCAGGGAGGGGAAAATCATCCACGGGAACTCATTGTCAGCTGCATTGAAATCTTTGTCTCCGCAAATCTTAGGCCGCATTTCCTCGAAACCGGAAATATGTTTGAACGTAAATCAATCCAATTACTTATTCGACAGAGACATAAGACATTCGTCCGCCAATCACCGCAACCGGTATCACCTGGGCTAGGAAAGCCGGGAGGAGGGGGGGGGGGGGGAGAGAGTCTGCCGAGGGCTAGTCCAATGGACCATCCCCCAACGGCCAACACCTCACAGTGGGAAGTGTATGAGTCCAGTGGGATAAGAGTGCAGGCCTGGGATAGGACCATGTGAGGGAGTCTCAGAATCTCCCAGTGACATTCACACCATATGGGCCAAGTGTGGCAGTATGTTGGAAGATTCAGAGACAAAAGTCTGCATCTCGATGGAGATTTGCTTCTGAGAAATATACATAGGAGTGGACTCAACAAAAATTTGTAGACAAAGAAATGTCAATAAGCATAAATGTGCGAAAATCATCGTTACGAATAAATGCAATGGGTAACCATAATTTAAAGAAATGTGGGACACAAACAAATTGTCAATGAGCAAAAACAAAGGATTAATATTTGCTGGCAAAAATGATGGGTCTGGCTACAAAACAGCTGGATGATGGATATTACCAGTGCTTTACGCGATGCCTAATTTTCGGACCTGCGATAACGATAAAATGATAAGAAAGGTTTGCGATAACGAAAAACGATAAAAATGTTAAAAAATTCTGACAGTGATAGCAATAAAACGATAACGATAGCAAATTGTTTTTTAACAGCGATAACAGAACGATAAACGATAAGACGATAACGATAATTGTTTTTTAACAGCGATAACAAAAGCGATAAGAAATACAGCTTAAATAAGTGTAGGTACTTTAAGTGTACAAAGACGGAAACCTGAGCCAAGTTGGCGTAGTTTTTTATGCTGAGTTTGACTTTCTGGAGCAAGTTCATTTATATAATTGTTCACTTCCCCAGATATACGGGAGTGGACCCCCCCCCCGTGTGACTGACCTCTGCCTGGTCCGCCGCGCAAATCTATACCACCCGTCGGCCGTCTGACAGATCTGTACACTTAGCAGATGGCAACAGGTTGCGCACACATACTGTCGCGCGGCATACACTGTCGATCGTCTTTCATTTTTCCATCATCCCGTTTTACATTTTATCGTTTACCGCTCATAATTTTTGTAACTTACGATAAGTGGATGAGCGATAATTTTGAGAATTTAGCGATAAAAGTTAACGATACCGATTTACTTAACAGCATATTCAATAATTATCGTTTATCGCTCATCCTATCGCATGCGGAAACCATTGGATATTACATAGGTAAATAAGTTACTATCAATTATACAAATAATGAGACTAAAGAGAGCCTTAAGAAGCATTAAGCATTCTCTTACTGTTCATAACTCCACTAAAGAAGTACTGGTAACCACCTATCACTATTCACTGACCATGGCAATAGGCAAGGAGAGCGCAGTGAAGAACACATCCCTGAGCCTCTGCAGCCGAGAGGTGGCACTATACACCACAGTGCTGGTACCAAACACATCATTGATGGCTGCAAGGATGTTGTACACCAGCTGCACTGTCTGAAACAAAAATACATTTATATGCCACAAAACACTGCTTATCACATGATTGATGATTTATCACATGATTTATCAGTCTCTGGCCCCTGGTTAATGAGAATCTGCAGTATGCAGCTTATTTGCATTTAAGAAAGATTTTAAGAAAGGACAGCTAAAAGACAGCAAAATAACGAAAAACAGCATATTAAAGTAACATAATTGCAACCAAATAAACTATTCCAACAACAGTTTCTTTATAAGTCATACTTAGTCCTAATATACTAGATAGGTACTCTATGCTTGATCAAATGTCAACATTTACAACAAGCTCATTCAATAGGTACATTCTAATTTCATCCAGCCCCACTTCTTACCAGTCCCCAAACAGTGAGGAATTTCCATCGTCCTCCCCATTGCGGCCGCACACTGAAAAGCTCCTTTATGACTGGATGATCTTGCACCAGCTTGGCATTCTCCAGCAGGTGATATGTTTCATAATAGGTGCAGCCTCCAAATACGGCAATGCCGACCAAGTGAAGCAGGAGGCCCATAATTATCTGTTTTATCTTGAAAGTGGCTGTGAAATGGAAGTCTGGGAGGGTCATACTGAGATCCACAAACATATCGTAAGGTTTTTGAAAACAAAACATCTGCAGGGCAGTGGAGTCAGACTAGAGTCAGAGTGGAAACACAGTCCCACCTCACCATCTAACCCCAATTCAAATTCCTAAACTGAAACGCAAATAAAATAGGGCACACCTCACATGCTAGGCATCAGCATTGAGCAAGACAAATATATTTCCTTGCCTCTACTTCAGTTTGAGTTATGACCAAAATAACATGTACGACCCCCGGGGATCAACCAAGGCTATAGAACTCCAGGTAAGGACACCAGCCGTTTGACCTTGAACGCCGCCGGCCGGCCGATGACGTCATTGGAGGCAAGCCGGCTCGGCGGACACACAAGGCGAATGCATAACGGAGGGGCGTTGGAACGTTGCGGGAGCCGGGGAGATATTTTAATGTGGTTGTATACCACCATTGTTATGCTTATTGATCTACAGACTGCATTCTTTTAAACCTTGATGCACTCTAGGCCTGGATGGTTCGTACATTCGTGGAACGATCACCCCGTCCGAAGTCCGTGGTCGAAGCTGTCATAGTATTAAAGACACTAAGACGGGTGCAATAACGGCGATCCGATCCCGTCTCTGGCGAATCTAGAGGGGTCGTAAGGACCCAGGCCGAATCTGACCGTCTATTTTTAGGGAAACGGGGTGGGTGAATTGACAACCGATGGCTTAAGAGATAATGAGAAGAGATCCCGTCGTCGATTGTTGTTTGACAGACAACACATGTTGTACTGGACGTATGACCATCAGAGGTAATGCCTGAACGTAGGCAAGCATAATTGTTCTGTCATACTGTTTAGGAATATAAAATGGTAATGGAGATTATTGAGGATATGATCTCTACATTACAGGAATTCGCTAATTACTACGGCCCATAGGGGCACCGCCGGAGCTGTTGTTTTGCCATCGGTCCCAGGCAACTCCAGGGAGCTGCAGTACCCGGCGGCCAAAGCGGCCCACCTCGTCGACTCGCAGGTCCTGTGGGATTCCGTGATGCTTTAGTGCTTCACCCACAGAAGCACGGGCATAGCAGTAGGATGTGGGGCTAGGTGTCTGTCCACCTCTTCATTGAAAGAACAACGTATACAGCGCCTGGTCCCGCCGAAGCTCGGTATCGACCGTGACTTATTCACAACTGGCGGATCCAGGAAGCGGTCTTGGACACTGCGGGGGCTTACCCCAAAAAGGTTTCTCGGAATTAATTAAAAAAAAACTCTGATTTCGATTCCTTGCGCACTGCTGTGCAGTGTGATTAACCAACATTTCCTCAGAAAAGTTGTGAAGTTTTCTTTGATTCTCGAAAAGCGATTTCGGGCGCTGCCAATGTGGGGGAAGACATTTGCCCCAAATGCCTTCCCCTGGATCCGCCAGTGGGTTGCCCCACTCCGAGCTTGACTAAAACCATTTTCAAACCCCACCAGAAACCGATGGTAAGGTGAATTTAAATCCAATAACTCATCTCTGTCTGCCCGCCTAAATATGTATACAACACATGGTACGGCACCCGGCCCTGTCTGAGCTATGAGCCGATCGCGATATTTTCGGCTTTCCCCAACCCAAGCTCGATTAGGAACGTTCTCCTTCCCCACCCGATTGCTGATGTCAATTCAAATTCAATACCTCATCTCTGTCGGCCCGACCATAACCCATTCATTGCACACCGTTCAGCGCCCCGCCCCGCCAGAAGTATCCTAGCGCGCTGAGCAGTTGCCTCCAGCCGCGTCATCGCGAGGCCCCGCGCGGCCCATAAATTAATACATTGCGCGAATAGCCGTGTCGCCCCCCTGGGCCCTGTTTCACCGCATATTTACGTCTGGACAACGAGTTGCGGGGAAAAGTGCTGATTGTGTTGCAGTTTTAGGAGCCGGTGATTAGGCTGGATTTTTGGGTTACTTTTTCGTTCCGATTCATGTATTTCATAGTGTTTGGCTTTTGAATATTTTAGTTCTTTCAAATAAATATTGCTTGCCTTACAACTTTTGTAAAAACGTTTCACTTTTTTTATAAGCCGACGTTCAGAGTCCTAAAAATACATCAGCACTACAATTATTGTAAACAAACAAATGGAGCACCACTTGGCTCTGTTCCAAGGCCATTTTTTAGCTTATCTGGTGGTTTTCTTGCTCTTGTACGTCGTTTTGTTGGATGTTTTGAATCCCTTAAGATTGACTTATATCATATTTAAGAAGCATGTTGACTGAAAACAATCTGAAGTATCCATGAGGCTGACAGAAGTCCTGACTACTGAGCAATATCAATATCAAGTTGAACAAGTTATGAAATTTTGGTTGATAAACGCAAGTTGATCGGGCTCATATATCAGCAAGAAAAAGTAAAATTAAAAGAGCTTATTGTCCAAAAACAAGCTAAAATTTTGCAGACCTTGGAGCAATACTGAAGTGCACGCTGAGCAGGATCATGCCAGAAAATGTTGACTGACGAGCACATATTGATGTATTGGTATGAATATTGAATGATAACTTACAACAGCAAGATAAATTAGTGCTAACTATCAAGTTAAAATCTAGAATGAATGGACTTGGGCAGTTTTACTATGTTTAGATGCTATGCAGATTGTAATGTGCATCAGATACTCGTGTCTGGCAAATGAAACATGCGATCATTCCATTGCTACTGGAGGAGAAAGCTTGGATCACTAAATCCACTTTATGTTGATTTTGATGTTAATCATCATCACTGTATTTTTTTGAAAAAAGGATTGTAGTAAAATTGTCAATGTGACAATCCATGCAACGATGTGATCATATTATGTGTTTATAGTCATTCGTGATAGTCATTATTGGTCCAATATACAATGGCAAAGCTCTCAGTCTCAGCGTTTCTTCCTGTGGATGGCCAGCAGTGACTCAGAGCTTAGAAGTATTAGTTTTCTTCACAGGGCTGGGATAAAAAGTACTGAGGGTAATCTTCCACCAAGGAACTCTACTTTGACATGGTATGAGATGTAGGCACAAGTAGGTAGGTGCTCAGTTCCTATAGTCAGTAGTTGTGTATGTTTAGTCGGGCTAGCTTAGATCAGATTGTTAGTTTTTTAATTTGCCAAATGTCCATAAAAATGTGACCTGAGCAATGAGCATACCTGAACCTGACAGCTGACCTAACCTCAATCATCACACATATTTGCAGCCTACCCAAGACCTGCATGGCAGTAGCACCCAGTTATAGGTAGGTACTCACCCTAACTCAATCTTACCTGCTAACCTTCAACTTGCCAAAAGTTAGCTCACATTGCCAAGCTGTGTCCAGGGAAACAGTCAACTGAGGAACTGGCTCATTGGGTGGCTGGTGTGAGTCTGTGCATTTAAAGTGTTTCTTCTCTGAAGCTGCTCTGCACTGCTGTACGTCATGTTAGATGTTCAGAAAATGTGGGAAATGATTACTAAGCTACTTTAGTGCTTTGTTAATGCTCGAGACATGAACAAGTACATATCCTGCAGGGTACAGCTATGAGTTAGGTGCTAGGTGAGTATGTTATGTGAATGTGCTGTTCCCTGTTTGACCGTAAGTATACAAACAAGCACAGGGTCACAGTTATATTCAATCTCCACATAAACATACAACAAAAACGGCCATATAGCCTAACTCCGAAGTCAGATAACTTAAGCCTTTGAAGGCACAACAGTGTTTTGATTAACAGGACAGGTTTACAATATATCCTCTGTCCTTGGGGGATCTTGCTGCCAAGTTGAGGTATGATGACTGAACTTCAGGACTGATCAACCTTTTCTTAGCCACTGCTTATATACGAAAAAGACCAAATGCTTGTTTGTTTTGATTTACAGGACATGTATACAATATATCCTCTGTCCTTGGGGGATCTTGCTGCCAAGTTGAGGTACGATGACTGAACTTCAGGATTGATCAACCTTTTCTTAGCCACTGCTTATAAACGACGAGAAAGACCAAATGCTTGTTTGTAAACTGCGTTGAAAATTTAATGATCCACCTTCAATTCTGACATGAGGGCACAAATGAAATAGTTCCCTCTCCTTTTGGAATACAAAAAGCAAAATATTTAATAAATTTTAGTGGATGGACAAGAGCAATTAGCATAGCTTTCCCTCAAGTTAACTTCTGGCACTGTTGATGAATTACACTGACTCTTATTCGCTTCATATTTTGTAACAAATGCGCTAAAACTGCAATATAACAGCACTATATGCTTCTTGACAAAATGCAATAGTATTAAAAATTTAGCCCTGATGGCATTCATTCTTGGTGGAAACGTAATTACAAAATATTTTGTAGTAACTATTAAATTCCGGCCGAAAACAGTGCTCGGTTAAAAAAAGAATCATTCCAATGACGGTCCATTCTAGCGGTCCTGAAATCGCCACTATTTCCGGCCTCTCCAACGCAACTCGTTGTCCAGACGTAAATATGCTGTTTCACCGGTGATAGCAGCACGCTGCTATCAAATTGCGCGAGCTGACGTAATGTGATGACGTCATACTGCTGACGTAAGGGGCAATTCTGGCGCACGATTGCCGCAATATTGTTTTACGTCATCAGCTAAATGTTCGAAGTTAATGTCCAAATTTTTCCTAAACCCAACTTCTTTTAAATACATCATATTGAAAAAATATATATCAAAAATATATATACTATCATGACTGCGTAAACTCTTACTTTTAGGCTCATACGTCACTTAATGCCGCCGCCAAGGTCGCGGCAATCGTGCGCCGGAACTACCCATTACGACAACAGTATGGCGTCACGACATGACGTCAGCTCGCGAAACGTGATAGCAGCTTGCTGCTATCACCGGTGAAACAGGGCCCTGGGATCAACCATTTGATGCGAGCTCACGTGAATGCAAGGACACGCCTAAGAGCTGGACTTTTTGATGACGTCTTTGGGTGACGTCATGTCGTGTGTGACGTTTCGTGAGCAGGTAAGGAAAAGTCACCACCGCTGGCGAACATTGGTGCGGTAAATGGCAAACACAAATGCTGCGCAGAAAAGACAAATGTGTAACTTCAAACAACGTCCGGCGAATCCTTGGGCGAATCCAAGGCTATATAAACCAGGTAGAACGTTCCCGACGAAAAAGTGGTGACAAGCGATAATTAGTAGCCGCGACCCTCACTTGTTCAAAACTATATCCGCAAGCAGCATTTACAGGCTAGCGGAAATCGACCAATCGGCGTTCGGCAATACTCGACGCTGATTGGCCCGATGCTCGTGACGAAATTGCGGGGGACTGTAGCTATTCCCCTATGGCGTTTAATAGACTTACGGCTTTTGAAGGGGATTTATACCAGTTTTTGTTGGGTTTGAGGCCATTTTTGAGCTTGGATATTCTTTCTGTGACTTTTGACTGTGTAATAACGACATTTAATCATGACATTCTATATACTACCGGTGTCACATCGGCCAAAAAGACCGTAAGTACATGGGATAGACGGACCACTGCTGATGGGGCCACACATGTCGGCGTGTGGTCATCGGAGGTCCGTGAGGGTTCGACATAGACCCTTCATGGGTCGGTATAGGCCCGGTGGGTCCAGTGTGCAAGCCTATCGGGGGCCGGGGCTGACCCAACAGGGCCCAGTGGCATATAATGTAAGGCTGTCTAGGCCGACGTTGAGGGCTCATGGGGGCCATATAGGACCAATAGGGACCACATCAGTCAATCAGGGGCCATTTAGGCCAATAAAGGCACTTCAGGGGACTTGAAAAGGTCATTCAAGAGCTGTGGTGGGCCCATGAGGGGACGGCATTGGTCCAGCAGGTGCAGTCAGGGGATGTTGTACGGGTTTCTCAGTGGCCCATTTGGGCATATCAGTGACCAATTTGGACCCAGCAGAGGGCTTTGTAGACCTATCAGGGGCTGGTGATGGTTCATCAGGGGCCAGCGTTAGTCCATCGGGGCACGGCATATGCCCATCAGAGGTAATTGCGAGCCCACGCTGAACAATGATGGCCCTTCAACGGCCCCTAATGGATCTACATTGACCCATGGGCCATGATGTGTCATGTATGCCCCTATGACAGGCCTACTCAGACCCCTGATGGACATTCTGATGACCCTATACTGAATGCTAAAGGGGCTCTAAGTTTCTCCAATAACCCTTCGTCAACCCATTATTACCATACGCTGGCACTAGGGGCCCCACATCAGCCGCAGGGCAGTCCGTGCCATGACAGCATGTCTTTTCGGCCGATATTACATCGGTAATATTTATTAAAATCATGATTTTATGGTGTCATTATATAGCTAACAGTCATAAGAAATATATTTCAACTCGAAAACAGCTCCAAACAGCATATAATTTTAAAGAAACTCCTCCGAAATCCAAAAGCCTATTCGGGTCCATAGAGAATAACTGCGGTCCCCCGCAATTTCGTCACGAGCGTCGGACCAATCAGCGTCGAGTACTGCCGAGCGCTGATTGGTGAATTTTCCGCTAGCGTGTAAGTACTGCTCGCGGAACAATAGTTCGTCGACAATCCTCCACAAACGTCTGTCACCATTTTTCGTAATGCTAAACAGCCGGAGCGTACCCCCCTGGGCGAATCTCAATCTAGAAGTTCTTCATGCGATTGTTAGTTATCTGTCTGCTATATTAGTATGATTGTTATTAGCGGTTGATTTGTGAAATGTATTATCAAAATCAATGTTTATTGAACGCAGATTCAGTTTATTTTCAGATGTACCTAGGTACCCTTACACTTCACTCATCTCAAGCTGTTCAAACACCCTTGACAAAGTCGATTAAGATGAAACGTTGGGTATAATTTATGCTGTGTTTTCTCTGCATTGTTAACATATTCATCATATATACAATATAAGGGCCACATGCTTTTTACAGGGAGACATGTCAGACAGCCCAGTAGGATGAGGCTTCGTCAAGCGTCATTTTTAGCAAAGCTTTTCTTGCTTAAAATCCAGTCTGCAAAACATGGCAGGGCTTACACTTTGGCTTACACTTGACTCCCAGCTGTTGTGTCTTTGCTATGCGATGTTAAACATATAAAACATCTTACTATTCATGTATGCGCCATGACTCATGTAATCTTTTCACAGCCAAGATGCTCCTAAGGTACTGGGAATGTGGGGAGTGCAGCAGCATCAGTGCAGCACCGATGGTCGGATGCGACGGCTGCGATAAATGGTACCACTTCTGTTGTGCGGGACTGACTAAGGAGCCAGGTAAGCGCAAATGTTTTGTGTCGCAGTATTTTTGTTGCAGCTATAGCGATCAATGAAATATTTTCCGCACTGTTCAGCCAAACATGTATTTCAAACAATCTGCTTCCCAACCAAGGGCGTCGCCACAGGGGGGGGGGAGGACGGAGGGGATCTCGTCCCCTCCACTTTTTAAAATTTTAACATTACGCCTATGGCGTTGCATGGAAAGAATCGACTTGAAATGGTCCTCGTCCCCTCCAAAATGGTCAATGTCCCCTCCAGTCGTCGCACCGTGGCGTCGCCCCTGTTCCCAACTGCACAAATTTAGTCAAACAATGTGCCAATATGGAATTTTCAGGTTCAGTTGAATGAAATAGGAACAATGATAATTGTAGATTACGTATACCTGCAAGAGAGGAAAACAGAATACATTGTATTGCTTGTCCTTCACCGATACTGTTATTTTTCCATTTCTAGAAACACCGACATGGCGATGCAGGTGGTACTGCCTGGTGAGGCCGCGGTCTCCGGAATCGCCTGCAGACGAAGTCACCTGGCGTCCATCTGCACATCACTTGCAGCAGTGAGGCCTGCTGACAGCGTCTGGCAGTGTCGGCAACGTGCCAGACAGCTATCTGGAGTCCTGCTCACCGCAGGTCGCCGACAGGAGGGGCGACGCATCGTCTCCGAGGTCGCCTCAGCAGCAGTGAGACCCCACTGGCCGTCTTCTTAGGCTTCAACTAGATTGCGAACAACCTATGCTGAGACAACGCCCATGACGTGTGATCCGGTACCGCTACCGCACTGCGTGCCTGTGCCCGCCGTGAGCCGCTAGTGCATGGGTTCGACCATGAGAATATGTGTTTATGCTGCTTTTACTATTGTTTATACGTTGAAGTGACGAATTGTTTATTTTTCGCAAGCCTCCGCTGTCCGGTTGCCTGCAGCTCCATGCAACGCCAGCTGTACTGTTGTTTTAATGTTGTCTCTCCGCTCAGGTGTACTGTTGCCTCTCCGCTCATAACAACCTATGCTGAGACAGCGCCCATGACGTGTGATCCGGTACCGCTACCGCACTGCGTGCCTGTGCCCGCCGTGAGCCGCTAGTGCATGGGTTCGACCATGAGAATATGTGTTTATGTTGCTTTTTATACTATTGTTTATACGTTGAAGTGACGAATTGTTTATTTTTCGCAAGCCTCCGCTGTCCGGTTGCCTGCAGCTCCATGCAACGCCAGCTGTACTGTTGTTTTAATGTTGTCTCTCCGCTCAGCTGTACTGTTGCCTCTCCGCTCATAACAACCTATGCTGAGACAGCGCCCATGACGTGTGATCCGGTACCGCTACCGCACTGCGTGCCTGTGCCCGCCGTGAGCCGCTAGTGCATGGGTTCGACCATGAGAATATGTGTTTATGTTGCTTTTTATACTATTGTTTATACGTTGAAGTGACGAATTGTTTATTTTTCGCAAGCCTCCGCTGTCCGGTTGCCTGCAGCTCCATGCAACGCCAGCTGTACTGTTGTTTTAATGTTGTCTCTCCGCTCAGCTGTACTGTTGCCTCTCCGCTCATATATGACACCCTCTATATGAATGGCACTACTGATTGTCACACCCACTGTCCGTATTGTCCGTAGTGGTGTCTACGCCCATGTTAATACAGCGTGCAGAATCCAGATTCTATTGAGGAGAGTTGAGCTAAGTCACCATAGGCTCGGGAAGAGAGCAACGTGGAGGCCCACTGCCCCTTCCCCGGCCCCCACTGGGGGCGCCAGCCACTCCAACTTTTGACTGGATGTCAAGAGCGTCGCCACGAGGGGAACGAGTCGCCGGCCAGCCAAGGTAGCCAACGGCGTGTGAAGGTTGCCTGACCTCGAGGAAACTGAGATGGCACCAACGGATGTTTTGTTAAGTAGGCGACCAAAATTCGAGCGGCAGCAACCTGGGCACCTTCACAGATAGCAGTGCCGCGTATCAGGGCGCCTTCGACGTTGAGCTGGGCGCCGATCATCAGGACGCCGGGGGAATATGACCCAATATCCCCCGTAAATATGTGCCTCGGAAGGGAGACCCAACCATAAAACTGAAAGCTCGCCGTATTTTATCCACTATTTTTCGAGCAGGTCCATAGATTTCCGTCCTCAAAAGTGCGGGGATATTCCCCAGTGTTTGAGTTGGATGGGACTATAGTGGCGTTTACACCGACAGGAGATTCCCATTGCCGGCTGTGGGAAACTACTGTCGGTGTAAACGCCATTCATATTTCCTGCGTCACCCCTGTGGGGACGCCCTTACTCCATGGTTCCGAGCTTATCAATTTGGATATCAATGGAATCAAAATCTCTTATCGATCGATGAAGAACTAAATTACCCCGACCCGGAGAGCGTCTTTGGAATCAAAGCAGTAGCACATGACGCAAGACTTCAGGCAAATAAATCCTTCTTGTCTGAAATAAAACATTTGTGTATTGATAAGCACGTTTTATAAGCAATGGTAGCAAGATTCTTCATGTATTTGGTTAAAATGATAATTTAGTAGCAGATACTTACCGTCGCATTTCGTTTTTATTTATTAATAATTTATATTGTCAGAACTAGCAACATGTCTCTTCACTCAACAAAAATTACAAAAGTGAAAAAGAAATGATAAATTGCTTATATTTTGGTGAAACTAAAAATTA